TTTTTTTATGTACCTGAATTGTTTTTGCATAGTTTCCCATAGTCTAAAAAAAAAAAAAAAATAAATTTAATTGGAAAAGATGATAAAAGTGATGGTGTGTAAAAAAAAAAAAAAGAAAAGGTACAAAAACAAACAAGGATATCAAGTAATTTATTAAACAAACCTATTTTTGTACCTTAAAATATCTATATTACGTGATTGTTATTACATTCGTATGTATTACTTTATGAGTAATTATTATTATTATTATTATTATTTAAATGATTATTACATGATTTTATGAAGGACGAAATGAATTTTAGGCTAAAAAAAAAAAAAAAAAAGGAGATGAGACATCCGGTAATCCTTAATACCTGTTTATTGATACAAAATATTTGATACCCGGTAATTAATAATAGTTTTGTAAAAAAAAAAAAAAATATTCACATGAAAATTTTTCTTTGTTTAAAAATTCATTTGTTTATTTGTTAACGTACGTTATTTTTTTCCGTTGCCTAAAGCCACGTCGAAACAATATATTTAAAATTTTTTTTCTTTCGCGCGCGCGGGAATTGCAAAAGTTTGATATAGTGTAGGTACGAATACGAGGTAATTGAGGGTAATTAAGCAATAATTACTAAATCCGATGATGATAATAATAATAATGAATAGTAATAGGGGATTCCCAGATGTTTAAATAATTTAAATAAAAAAAAAAATGATTGATTTATAAACGAGAGAAAAAAAACATTTTTTGTGGCACGCCATGTCAAAACATTAAAGTGATCAATATTAAAAAAAAGAAAATGTTTGATAGTTTTATCTATCGTGATTATTATTATTATTATTTTTTTTTACTTCTTTTACGTTTACATTCGTGTCTGTTTTGTTGTTAAAAAAAAGAAAAAACACGATGGATTACAAGATAAAATAAAAATCGAACAAAGACCAACTTTCGAACCCTTGACATATACACGAAAACATTGCACGGATTCGAACAACAAAAAAAATCAACTGATAAGTCAAACCAATAATTAAATTTATGTTGGCATCACTGAAGGTTACATGTACTACGTGTTATGTAGATCGCGTAAAAAAAAAAAAAAAAAAAAAAAAATTTAATGACCATCCTTCCTTGCATGCATGCATGGGGTCAATATTGGGGGTCAAATATGGCGGAATTCTCCCTGACAATGAAAAAAATTTTTTTTAAATTTCAAATCTATAGAAATCAAATGTGAAAAAGAAAAAAAAAATTTGAGATTAAAATTCTATAAACGTGGTTTTAGACTTTTTGACTTAGTTTTTTGTTATTTCTTCTCACGTGCCATTTAAAAATTATTATTATTATTGTCTTTTCTTTTCAACTAATGTCATCGTTATTATTATTATTATTATCATTGTTTTATTTCAATTATAAAAAGTACGTAAAAAAAAAGTATATAAAAGTCATTTTTTTAATATTTATGCTACAGGACGCCATTTTTAAATTTATTTAATTTGTAACAAGATTTATTTAGTTAACGACCTGAAACCTGAGAAACTATGACAAAACCGTGAAATCAGGTATACTATAAAATATTTTTAAACGTCATTACTCCTAACTTTTTACTCATTAATTATTATTATTTTTCTTTTTAAACCATAAAAAATTTAAATTTTTAACATTTTTAAACAAAAAGAAAAGAATTTTTTTTTTTTTTTTAAAAAAGATATCGGTTCTGCTAAAATAATTCTAATTACACGATTCCGTTTTTTTGTGTTTTAACATGGAATTTCACGGGTGGATGATTATGTCAACTATTCTAAGATTTCTGGTTACACGTTTTTTTTTTTTTTTTTTCATTCAACGTTTCCTTTTCACATATTTCGATAATTTAAAAAAAAAATTCAATTGAAAATATATATTACATTAAATCTTTTTTGGAAAAAAAAATTTTTTAAAAAGCAAAAAACATAAATAAGGGGGAAAATAAATAATGTCAAAACGTGTCATACGTTTTATACACAAAAAATCCATTGCCAAATTTTTGAATTAACTTGGCAACAAATTTTTTTTTTTTAGCAACTGACATTTATAATTTTTTAAAAAACTCGATTGTGTCGTCGTCGTCGTCGTCGTCGTCGTCGCATTTTAAAAATTTAAATAAATAAAAAAAAAAAAAAAGAAAATTTTATGTATGCATTAAACGTTTATCCCCGTTACCAAATTAATTTTTTTTTTTTTTAACGTCGTTGTTGTAACCTTTATTAATTTATTATTATTATTATTAAAAGCGGACAAGTTTTTCTTTTTAAATTCGACACCCACTTCGTGTTACGAGTTTTAATAAAAAAAAAAAAAGGAAAAAGTTACGCAATGAAAAAAAAAATTTTTTTTTTTTTTTGGCCATCGAATTGTTTGTACATCGTGACTTAACAAGGGGAAAGTCTTTCCTTGTCATCTTTTTTACTTATCGTTAATGTATATATATATTTCTTTTGTAATTTTTAAATTTCATTCAATCATTATTATTATTATTATTATAACCAGTGGTACCAACCGCAACAAAAGGTAAAAAGGGATATCGATAAACATAAATAATTATAAGTAGATTATATTTTACGTAACTTAAAAAAAAAAAACGAGCCGCGTTTAATTTTCTTTTGAATTGACGTTTAAACGCCCCCCACTTCCGCTCCCGCTTCCGCCCCCCCCGATTTCCATCGTTATTAATTTTTCTTTCCCCCTCCCCCTTTTTAAATTACATATTACTAATTATTATTATTATTATTTTTTAAATTATCAATTATATAATAATGTTGGATTTTTTTCGTTTCCTTTTTGTTTTATCCAAAAAAAAAAAAAATTTAAATGAAACGTTTTAATAATAATAATAATAATTGTTAGACGTAATAATAATAATAATTTTTTGAATAAACTATAGAATTTTTTGTATTTTTTCAAAGGTATTTCCTGTTTTGGAGTAAAAAAAAATGGCCTGGAGAAAAAGAACGAAAGTCCTTCCTTATTTGATGGACAATGTCTATCGTCCTTTTCCCCTTTCTTCCTAATTAATTTACATTTTTTCTTTAAATTTTTTCGTGTCATTCATTTTCTTTTACAAAAAGTTTTAAATTTTTCAAAGGAAAAAAAAAAGGAAAAAAGAAAAAAGAGAGAGAGAGAAACAAGGTTAACAACTACAAAGTGGGTTTTGTATTTTTATTAGTCATAAGAGAAAACTCCACGATTTTAAAAAAATTTTCGCTCATATTCAATAATAATAATAATAATAATAATAATAATAAATTTTTTTTTACATAACAACAGAAAATATAATAATAATAATAATAATTTTTTTTCGGTTACTATTTGTATAAAAAGGCGTTTTTCGTTTTGTAATTTTCACTTAAATCGTCTTAAGGTATAAATAAAATAAAATCCTTGCAATTATATTGTATAGATCAAGGATTTTTAATAAAAAAAATTTTTGTTGAAAGATTATACAAAAAAAAATGACTTAAAAACAAACAAACAACAACAACAAACAACAAACAACATCTTTTAACGATGATTGATTTTTATTTACTCACTTAGCGTAACTTTCAAAATGGAAAATTTTTTTTTAACCTTCCCTCTATGTGTAATTAAAATGAAAAAAATTTCTCAGGAAAAACTAAAAAGCTAAAATTGGGAAACTCCCATTTATTATTAAAATATTTGAAATTTTTCTGGGCCCTGACCTGAACCGTAAATACGAATAAATTTTTTTAAAAAATTTAATAAAAAAAAATTTTTCTTTTTTTGACGCGCAATTTAATATCATATACTAATACGTACGTATATATATAAAATTAAATTTTCTCACGATTTTTTTACCGTTTTTTTTTTTTTTAACCCGATGATAATAATAATAATTTAAATAAAAATACGTGAGATTAGTAAAGAAGTTATTACAAAAGGAGCACCTTTCAAATCAATAAAATAATATTTTTCTACTTTATTTATATTTTTTTTTCTTATCGATAATGAAAATTCGATCGATCGATCGATATTATCAATAATATTCACTTATTTTATTTTTTTTTTTTTTAACCGTGAGTATCTAAATCAATTGAAATTTATTAATAATAATAATAATTTTAAAATAAACCATTAAAAAATGCATTTTTTTTCAATTTTATTAAAAAAAAGGGCCCCAAAAATATAAAATTACTTTTTACTTCCGTTAATTGAAAAATTTTTTTAAGGTTTTTATATTTTTTTTTTACAGATAAGTTAGTCAGCCATGGTTTAATTGAATGATGGCGAAAAAAATAGGAAGTAATCATTATTTAGCATCACCGACTCCAACATCTCAACCTGGATATGTTCCACATCGTGGAGGATATTGGACAGATGGAGAAGAAAGTCAAAGAGCACCCTCCGAAAGGACAAGCGAATATTATATGGTTGCTAATGAAAAAGCTAAAGTAAATATTTTTTTGTGATGCGGATTCAACGATGTAAAATTTTGTTTGTTTTTAATTAAATCCCTTCCTTCACCGTATAATTATTATTGTAGTTAGGATCATCGACAAAAGATAGAAAATCAAGATCATCGCAAAAAAAAAAATTAGATGATCCACCACCGCATGCATCAAGTCCAAGCCTTCGAGCTCCCTCACAAATGAGTTATGATAAAAGAAGTGCTAGCGGACGAGTACCTTCTTCGGCAGCAAGCGTGAGAAGTGATAAAAAAGATAGAAAAAATGGTCATTTATCGGTACCAATTCACGGTAGTAATGGTCATTTGCGTGTACCTTCACAATCATACGAAGATAGCGGTTCTGAAGTTTACGTGACGAGTGGAGCTTATAGAGCTCCATCGGAAATAAGGTCTTTAAAGATTTTTACTACAAAAAAAATTAGTATTAACGTTTAAAAAAATGTATAAACTTATTGTTATTGTTATTGTTTAGTCGTGGTTCTAAAATAAGCCGACAAACAAGAGAAGCACCAAGTCATTATTCATATCGTAGTGCTGCTCCACCATCAGAAATGTCAACAGTAAAGACAAAAACGTCACGTAAAGGTGGAGTAGTAGTGGAAACAATGTCAGCTCCAAATCCTTTTTGTCCAAATACAAAAGGTCTTTGTTGTTTGTTGCTCCTAATAAATCTCGGTCTTATATTAATTACTTTAGGTTTTGTCATCGTCATGCAATTTTTCGAACCTTTGTATATATGGTTAGTTTATTATTATTATCATCATATCCATTCGTCCTTAGAATTAGCATGCAATTATAAAACTTTTCTTTTTTATATTTTTTACAGGATTTTAGGGATTGTATTTTTGGTTTTTGGTTTTATCGCACTCAATGTGAGTTTGATTTATTGCGTATCCATTTGTAAAGATATGAAATCACCTAAAGAAGTTGCCATGCAAGATAATTATTGGACTCATCATTGGCAAAAAAATTTTAGTTTACCTGAAATACATTATAAGAGTCAAGAAAAATTCCCTGAATCTGATAGAGGAAGTGACAGATATTCAATCAGTAAATATTCATCTAAATATTCAGAAAAAAATCATCAACATCATAGATATTGACAACACAAAGTATAAAAACATTTTGTTAAAAATATATATTTATGTATATATTTTTAAACAAAAAGAACTAATTTTTATTAAAAAAAAAAAAAGCATTTTACTGTTTTTATCTTTCTTTTCTAATCTTCTGCTTATTTTTTCTTACACACTATATATATATATATTTATATTAAATTAGTTATGTAAATGTATAATATTTTTTATAAGTTAATAAGTTTAAAATCTTTACATTCCTTGTTTTCCGCCATTTTGTTTTTTTAACTATATTAATTAATTTTATTTATTATTATTATTATTAAATAATTAAAATTTTGTAATGTATATTTTTATTTGATAAGAAATTGTACAGAATATTTTATTACTTAATTACTAATATATGAGTTATTGTATGAAAAAAAAAAAAAATTGTATGTAAATATATTTTTTACTAAAAGGGAATTAGTTTTTTTTTAATTATTTTCAACCTACCCGTTGTTCGTTAAATGTTGATAATATTAAATTAATGACAGTTTTAAACAATTTCCCTTACTAGAACATTAATTTTTGACATTTTTTTTCGGTTATTTAAAAAAAAAAAAAAAAAAAAAAAAAAAGAATTCATTTTATGTGATAAAACTAATTTAAAAAATTTTTTTTTGTAATAATCAAAAAAAATTTTTTTTTTTTTTTTTTCATCTGACAATCCTCCCGTGTGTTGATTAAAGTGTAAGAAAAAAACTTTTTTGAAACGTTTCGTTACTTTTATACGTTGATGAATCCATTTGACCTTGGACGCGGTTACGGTTATAACAAATTAAAAGTTTTTTTAAGAATTGTTTTCATTATAATTATAATTAAAGTGTTTTATAATTAATTTACGATAAAATCCTTTTAATGAAATCGTTTTTAAAAAAAATGAATTTAAAATTATGTAGGAGTTTTACGACCAAAATACCACCGTGCGTTTTCAATCCCGTTACTTATTCGGGGCCCTCTTTTGAAAAAATACTCAAAATCAGGTCGGAAAATTTGGCGCCCTGCATAAAACATCATTTTAAAAATCCGATTCTTATTAATCAAGGATATATGCAATGGCTTTACGATCACGAAGGAAAAAGATATTTGGATATGTTTGGAGGTATTGTAACCGTTAGTGTTGGACACTGTCATCCGCAAGTATTCACATTTGTAACGTTTTTTTTTTTTTTTTTTTACGGCAACCTGATAGTTTAATTCTGTAAGATAATTCATGGAACCTAATATATTAATATGAAATGAGGTAAATTTAATTTTAGTAAAGTAAAAGAAAAGCTAAAAAGTCAAGTCGATCTTCTTTGGCACACGACAAATTATTTATTTACATCCGAAAATTCATGAATATGCAGAAGCTTTAAATAAAAAATTACCAGGAGAATTAAAGGTGAGAAACAAAATGAAAATATCTATTTAAAAAAAAAAATTTTAATTTAAACAATATTTTTTCCCTAAAGGTAATCTATTTCGTAAATAGTGGATCTGAGGCAAATGATTTGGCAATAATGATGGCTCGTTTATATACGGGAAACCATGATATTATAGTGCTTAAAAATTCTTATCATGGAGGTTCCAGCAGCACAATAGGATTGACAGCTCAAAGCTCTTGGAAATTTTCATTACCTACTTATAACATACACGCTGTATGAAATTTTGTTTTTTTTTAAAATTATAATTTTTTGTTTAAATTTTTAATTATCATTTATTCCCGTGAAACAGGCTAAAAATCCTGACGTGTACAAAGGATTATATGGAGGACAATATTGTAGAGATTCTCCTATTCAAACTCAAAGAAAATGTGATTGTTCAAAGGATCACTGTTGTGCTGCAGATTTTTATGCTGATGATGTTAGAGAAATTATTGAATATTCTACACCGAAAAAAGGAATTGCTGGATTTATTGCTGAATCTATTCAAGTTAATATTTTTAATAAAAATCTATTTTTTTATAATGACAAGTTACATTAATATTTAATTAATGTAAATTTTTAGGGAGTAGGAGGAGCCGTACAATTTCCAAAAGGGTATTTAAAGCAGGTTTACAACCTTATTCGAAGCAGTGGAGGAGTGTGTATTGCAGATGAAGTGCAAACAGGATTTGGAAGAACCGGAAGTGATTATTGGGGATTTCAAAATCATGATGTTGTGAGTTTGTAAAATTACAAAACAATACATCAAAATGTAACTAATTAATTAAAAGAACTTTATAAATTATGGTTTTTCATTTTAGGTTCCTGATATTGTTACAATGGCAAAAGGTATTGGAAATGGTTTCCCATTGGCAGCTGTTGTAACAACGCCAAAAATATCAGAGTGTTTAACCAAAGCTCATCATTTTAATACTTTTGGTGGTAATCCGTTGGCATCAGCTACTGGATTAGAAGTTTTAAATGTAAAAATACAAAGTGATAAATAAACCTTAAATTAAATTTACCGTTTATAAAAATGAAAAATTTTAGGTTATAGAAGAAGAAAAACTTCAGGAAAACAGTGCCGAAGTAGGTACATACCTCCTACAAAAGTTAGCAAAACTTAGAGATGAGTATGAAATCGTTGGAGATGTTCGAGGAAAGGGAATGATGATTGGTGTAGAATTTGTTGAAGATAAAAAAACAAAACAACCTTTGAATCCAAATGCTTTTGGAAATATTTTAGAACAGTGTAAAAATTCTGGAGTTTTGTTTGGCATAGGAGGCTTTAAAGGAAATGTGAGAATGTTTTTTTTTTTTATTTAAATTTCTATTTTCGATTATTCATTAAGTTAAATTAAATTAAATATTAAAAATACCTTTAAATGTTTTTAAAAACAGGTATTGAGAGTTAAACCGCCGATGTGTATAAATAAAGACGATGTCGATTTCGCGGTGGAAATTTTAACGGAATCCATTAAAAATTGTATGACCGAAATGAAATAAAAATAAATTTAATCTAAAATCGAAACTTGTAATTTTTTTTGTTTTTACTTTTAAAAAATGATTTATATTAACTGCACAGCATTAAGTATGACTATTTTTTTTTTCTAACATTAAATTAAATAAAATAAATAAAAAAAACGAAAATTATTATTTAAATAATTGACGCCAGCGCTCCCTCGACTTTTTGGTCAATTCTAAGAAGTATGAATCATTAAACTTGTTCAGAATTGCCAACTTATAAATTGAATAATCTGTTATTTATAAATAAAACCTTAGTTTTTTTTTTTTTTGAAAATTATCGGAAGCATGGGCGATCCAGAATTAGAAGCAATAAAAGCTAAAAGATTAGCACAACTCAAATCGCACTATGGCGTAAGTTTAAACGTAAATTTTATACACGTTTGGAAAAAGTCTTAGTATTTTTTAAAAAAAAATTCTTTTTATGAAATTGTGTAGGATTCTGATGGAGACAGTAGAAATGCTCAAGCGGCACAGGAAAGAGAAGAAAGAGCTAATGAAATTAGACATAGTATATTATCTCAAATTTTGGATCAATCAGCTAGGGCCAGACGTAAGTTTCAACAATTTTTTATTATTTTAAATTAAGAGTTACTGTATTTCTTCACATTGCAAAATATTGTAAAACATTTAAAATTTCTTATTGTAAATTAGGTTGCTGTATTCATTAAAGTTACCTAATATAAAATTTATCTATTTCAAAAAACTCGAGTAAATTTTAAATTAACATTTGATTTTAACATTAATGCTTTGAACTTTGAATGTTTGTTTTAAAACATTGAAACTTATAAATATTTATTCGATTAAGTAAATAAAAAATAAAAATACTTTTTTTTTTTCTGTTTTTTTACAGTTAATACTCTAATGATAGGAAAACCAGAAAAAGGAAAAATGGTTGAAAATATGTTGATTCAAATGGCTCAAACTGGTCAGTTACCAGGAAAAATAAGTGAAGGAGAATTAATTAAAATATTAGAAAATGTTAATAGACAAACTAATAAAACAACTACAGTTAAGGTAAATTTAAGTTAATATGATGTTAATGGAAAAAAAATAATAATAATAAAATCATTTATTAAATTGTTTTTAGTTTGATCGAAGAAGAGCTGCTATGGATGATTTCGATGATGATTTGTAGTTAAAAAATTCAATGCATGAAATTCGATTGAAGACTTTATTCAGTGATGTGTACTTTATACAATACATTGAATTTCTAAAATACTATTTTTAATGTTGTTGAGTATAAATAAGTACTTGTACTCGACATTTGAGTATAAATAAGTACTTGTACTCGACATGTAAAAACTGATTAATAATTATTTAAATGAAATAACATAAAATCAGCAATAGAAAATTTATGCAACCCTTATTAATTTTCAAATACTTTATGTGGTGCAGAAAATGCATTTAAAACAGAGGAGAATAAAGTAATACTTCCACTTTATAATAATAATAATAATAATCATGTAAATTGGCTTAAGAGTTAATATTAATTATTTTCTTCTTTAGTTAATAAATTTATGTTTAATATCGATTAATGTATAAAACTAATAATTTCATTTTAAAATAATTATTATTTAATTAAAAGAGTTTTTAATGTAAAAATGTTTTTTTTTTTTTGTCAAGAAAAGTAATTAAATAATAGTTTTAGTAGCAGAAAACAAATTGATACTGAATATGTTGTTTAAAATATGATTATGAAGAAAAAAGTAATGGTTTCCTTTACATTGATATCCTTTGTTAATTATTTTATTTAATATGTAATTAATTAAATTTTATCGAGTGTAATAATTCTTTTACTTATTTAAAATGTAAACCTATCCAAGATATTTAAATTACTTTTCGTCTAAGTCTTGATTTTTATTAATTAATTATTTAATTTATGTAAACAATAATTAATTTTGCACTTATGAATAAGAAGAATAAAATAAAATTTTTTTTTAAAATTATGTTTTTGTTTATTAAAATATTTTATTCCTTTTTCATTTTACATTGTTAATAAAAAAAAAAAAAACAAATTTTATAGTTATGTAGTAATTAAAAAAAAATTAATAACGATTACTATACTATTTACAGTGAGTATATTATGGTAGATGCAAATATATTATTGTTATGATAATATGTGTATTCCTTTCCTAATAAGGAATCAAATAACTTTATAAGATCATTGATGACGTAATAAAATGTGAAAAGCTATAAGTTTTTTATTCTTTTAATTATAATTGAAAAAAAAACTTCACGAAGACGTATTCCTCGGTAGTATAGTGGTCAGTATCCCCGCCTGTCACGCGGGAGACCGGGGTTCGATTCCCCGCCGGGGAGAATTATTTTTTTATTTTTTTTTTTTTACTAGTAAAAAATGTTTTATAATAATAATTAATATTAAATACTTAATAAATAATAATAATAATAATAAATTTAAATTATTTAAAAAATTTCCAATAATGTGACTTACATTTATATATGGTCGATTCTTCTCATTCATTGTATAATAATAAATTTTTTCCAAATTAAATAAAAATTTTTCTTCCATGCATATGTTATGTGTGTTATAAAAAATTTTTCTAAATAATTGAATAGTTTAAAGATACTTTAAATAATAATGTATGTATTTAAATATAATAATTATTATATAAATCTAGCTAGTTTTTTTTTTTAATTTAATAATAATTATTAATCATTTCTACATTTTATATGAAATTTGTATTGAATCCTACATTATTATTATATTATTATATTTAGACATAAATAATATAATACTTAAAAATTTTAGCTGAAGACTGAAATATAATAAATAATTTTCATAAAAAACATTAAATTCAATTAATGTATTTATGAAAAATTTCTTTGAATTCCAGCTGTGCAATCAAATAATGCAGGATTATTAAATTCTCCTCTTTTGTCAATAATGTAATAAAACCATTTATTTTTTATTTGAAGTGTTATATATCCTTTAGAATCCTGTCTCGTGTAATTTGCACTGACCTATAAAAGTTAATTTAATCGATTTTAAAATGATTATCGAATTTAATTCTAGCAAAGACAAATATTCTAACCATTACCTGATTTAAAGGTACTTTAAATTTATTTTCTAATCCTGGTACTTTATATGTTTCAATAGTTAAATACTTTCCCCCTTTGTTTAGTGTAAGGTAATTGATAGATCTATGTGTGTAGAATAATGTGATAAAAACCATTAAAACACCTGAAATTTGTTTTTTATTTTATTTTATGAATTAATAAAATACTAAATGTAAGTCAAAATGTGAAAAAAAATTGTGTGCAAAAAGTTTTTATTATTAAAATAATTAAATTAGCAATCGTTCCTTAAATTTAATGATGGTGCCATTCATTTTAATTTCCATTACTTTTTTTTACTTATTCACAATTCGAATTGAAATTTTTTAAAAAGTAAAGTTTAAAAATGAAGTTATTAGTATACATAAAAGTGATTTTGTTAAAAATTATCATAGAAAAAAAAAAAACTTACCGAATAGAATAGCACAATACCCCATAACATCTTTATACTTCATTTGCTTTGTGTAAAGCCAATTCCAAAACGGACTTTTAGAATATACCTCTGGGTTAGACATTTGTTTAAGTAAAAAATATCCTAAATAAGACCAAAATACTCCTTGTACAACCGAAAGAGCATTTATTAATAAAAAAAATTTTGGTTTTTCATATTTGTATAATAATACATCTTTTTCTAAGTGCTTTTTAAAAACTAAATAATTACAATAATTTCTATTTGTAATTTTTTCCTTATTTATATTAAAAATTAAAAAACTAGGTTTTATAGATCTAATTGATAATTTACTAATATTTTTAATTAATGTTATACCGTACATATTCACTTTTTATTTCTTAATAATCACATACTTAATTTTACAATGAGTAAAATTCGTTTGGTTGTTTAAATGTCGTGGTTTTAGAAAAATTAAATACACTTCATCGGTTTCGTTTTCAAAATATAAAACGTTTAATTTGTTTAAGGGTAACAAATAAATAAATAAATAAATAAATAAAACTATTTACTAAAGACATTCACTGAAGCTTGAATTTATTATATATATATATATATGCAATAAAATTAACATTCAAAATTAAACATATAGTATTAAATCTGAAAAATAACTATTAAATTCCTAACAATAGTGCTACGCCAGCCAAAGTCCATTTGGCGGGTTTTTGTTTCGTTTTTAAATTAAATGTCCAAACGTAAGTTGGTCCTCTTTGCCTGGTTTTATAAACTGGACATTCGTATAATCCTCTTAAATCTTGTTTATCCTGTATAAAAAATCAAATCAAATAAAATAAAGAAAATTCGGGATATTTTAAAAATAAAAATAATTACCTGAGTAATTGCTTTTATGTATATAACCGGCATTGTCGGAAATAATTCTTTTACTTTGGATTCTACAATTCCGCCGGATGATGTATCCCAACGAGCACCTTCCATATACAATCCCCAAATATTAGCACCTTCACGAGGTGGCCCCCTATTAAAAAAACAATACAATTATTATTATTATTATCATTAAAAATAAATTTAAAAAATGAAATTAACCGTTACTCACGTGAATTCTTCTCTGACTTTTTTGGTTACTTCGCAATGTAGGCACATTTTATCTAAAGGCCATTCGTTTTTCCGCGCTGTGCTTTGCAAAATAGCCGTTAAAAATGATTGGGGATTAAAAAATCCAGCTAACCAAACAGCTGCTGGAAGCTAAAAAAACAAAAAAATCAAACTCGAATTTAAAAAAAGTCAACGGTGTATAAATGATAATTAAAATGTTGACATAAAATCTTACGTTAAAATCTTGAGCCCAAGTTTCTAATTCCTTAAGTCGAACAATTAAATCTGCATACCAGGCTCCTAACGGGAGCAAAGAAGGATAAGCTCTTTTTGCCCAAGCTGGTGGTATTTGATCCAGAAACAAAGTAGTCATGAGCGTTTCCATATCAGTTGATATAGTAAGTTCACCCTGTTAAAAATTAATAACAAATTTGATTCGATTCATTAATTTAATAAATTATTATTATTATTATTATTATTATTATTATTATTATTGTCACCTTAAGTCCTAAATCTAATTCTTTTAAAGATCTTTTTATTTCTCTAAATAAAATATTCATTCTTTCGAGTTCTTGGAAGGCGACTAATATGTATGGAGTTTTGTCTTCGACTTTTCCCATTATGTCTATCATATTAAATTCTTCCGGAGCTTTATCCAAAATGTCGTCTAATATTATTTTTAACTGATGTAAAAAAAAAAAAAAATTATATTCATTTTAATTTATTAAAACAAAAATAAATATATATTTAAAATAAGGAGCGTTTTTAAAATAAGAAACCTTTTCTTCTTTAGTCATTTTTGCTCCATCACCAGATCCAGCATCTCTCGGTTGCATTTCAAAAATGACTCTAAACATGTTTTCTGATAGCGTCGTTAAAAATCCAATTTCGGCATTAATATGTAATCCGTAGAGACTTGGACTCTCCGAAGGAAGTGCATCGTCAATGTAATTGTGATAACCGACAAAATCTGAATTTGGTGGAGCTAAAAATCCAGGTGCAAAATACAAATCACCGTCCAGCTGTAAAAAAAAAATTACGTGTATATAATTTTATTAAAAAACAAAATGATTAAAATGAAGGCATGAATGTACCAATTCAGGTCTCATAAATTCTTCTAAATAAGTTCGACATAATCTTCTATCCCAATCATCGGTAATGTGTCCTCCGTACATAATTTCACCAAACAAATACCTTAAATCTTCCCATGGAATTTTCGAATTGTTTTCCAGGTAATTATACAATACGCTAACGCTGATGGTCAAGTCTCCTGCATTTATCATTTTAACATTATAAAATGTTTGTTCATCATTAAAAAAATAAATGTGCAAATGAGTCAAATTAAATTACTTACCGTTATTAAACGGATAAACTCTGTTCCATCCTTGAGATCCGAATTTTCTTCTTTCAGCAACGACAGCATGAAAATAACACAAAGCAAATAAAATCCCTTTAAATTCAGCTTCTTTCGAACAACTATCAAATGTTTCTTGCGTGAAATTATCCAGAGCTTTATGGATGTTAGCAAGCATTCCCGTTGGAGGTTCGTTTGTTATTTTTATCGCCGATTCCAAAATACCCTGTCAACGAATATACGTCATGAGGAAAATTTTAGGCATATGTGCGGATGTAACGTATGTACTCAAACGAAAATACCTGAGGAATAATATGAAATTCTTCACTCGGTGCAGGTTCAGCCGATATGTACAATCTGTAATTTTCATTAGCTCCTTCCATACATTGTTCCATTTTTTTTTCTAACGTAGGCAACCAATTTTTAACCAGATGAACATTCTAGATCAAATAAAGCCAAGTTAATAATAATAATAATAATATTTTAATAATAAATTTTAATAAAATTATTTAAAATAATTTTTTTACTTGTAATATGACCCAATGTCCATTTCGACTAGAAGTTTCCATCGCTTCTTCAGCAACCGTTTCTTGTCCTTGACCTAATGAGACATTATGGAAATTCTTTTTATCCATCGTGTATCCTAATTTTTTTCCTAACTTTTCCACATCTTTAAGAGGATCCACTCCGGGAGATAAAATGAAGAAAATTGGGGTTTCACTGCTTGATTCTTCGTAAGATTTTGCAAATTCAATAGATCTGGCTTCGGCAAAACGAAGACCCAATTTTTCTTCGATAAAAGTTCTAAAAACGTTTTTTTTTTTTTTTTTTTTTTGTTTTAAATTTTCCGTTTTTTTTTTCCTTTCATCAAAAATTTCGTCTGGAATATTTACCCCACAGCGTAAATCATTCTATCGGGTCGCAAACATCTCATAATGCACAATCTTTGTAAAGCCGTTTTATTTTTCCATTCTTGCGGTAGTTTTTCCCTTTCCGGTTTTTCACTTTCCACAAACTTTTTCCACCTTTTAGCCGAACCCTCAATATCTTTATCTAAATTTCTAAAATCATTTTGTAAAATAAATAAAATTAATATGAAATAAATTTTAGATAAGTATATATGTAAAAGCAAAGGATTACTTGAATTCGCTAAGATTCGATAATGTTTTTACGCCTCCCCAACCTAAATGAGTCAAAAAATCAACTGGAGAATATACATTTGGATTAGCTGGAAATCGAAGCAAAAAATCCAACACTTCCGGTTCTACTTCTTTTGCATCTTTAATTCAAAAAAAATAACATTTTATTTTTGTGGGAAAAACAAAATATAAATTGTATTTAATGTCATCAAACTTGGTTTTTCACCTAATAATATTTGTATAGCCATTTGAGCTTTAAAAATTAATTTGTCGGCTTCAAATAAAGCTCGACTGGTATACATAAATACATTGTAAGTAACAGTTTCTATTAGATTAGAAACTCTGTTTCTCAAATTTGTTGCTTTTTCTGTTGTTGCTAAAGCTTTTAGAAAAACTATGGTAAAAGCCTAAAAAAAAAAAAAAAAAAAAACATTTATAACGAATAATTTTTTCCAGGAAAAAAAAAAAAAAATTATTTTTGTTTCCTTTAAGGTTTTAAAATTTAAAAAAACCTTTAATGAAAATTGATACATGGGATTGATTTTACATAAATCATTGAGTACAAAATACAACAGCGATGCTCTCGTTGCAACAGGTCTATAATGTTCTCTAGCTTCATCGATTTTAACAGAAGTGATTTTAGCTTCGGCAACCTAAAATTTGTTTTTTTTTTACCATAAATTTATTTTACTGTAAGAATTTCAGACTAATAAAAAAAAAATAGTCATTAACTCACTTTGACGATGATATCATCTGCCGTTTTTTTAGTCGTTTCGAGATTTTCGACTAAAGCCACATCACTTAAAATATCATCACCTGCAGAACTCAACCTGTATAAAAGATCATCTTCTAAAAATTTTAACGTTATCTTAAATGTGTTTTGCTGTTGTGTGAGTTCCGTTTTGAGTTCTTCCAAATCTGGTCTTTCAGCTTTAACCACTCCACCTAAATTATTATTATTATTATTATTTTATCATTTAAATAAATTTCTATAATAAATTAAATTTAAAAAATTTTTTTTACCCAGCAATTGATCTTCTAAACCATCTTTCGTCACCGTAAAATTAATTAAAGTCGTTTGAGCTTGCATTTCCGGCTTATAATGAGGATTAGCAAGTTTAGTCTGAAGGATTAATCTAAAATTTGGATTAAAATCAACTTCTTTATCTCCTATTTTAATAGCTCGTCCTTTTCTTATAAGAGCACGACTTAAAAGAGGTTCTAAAACTGCGTCAACGGATTCTCCTATGTACTCGATCAAAACCTAACAAATCCAAAATATATTTTTTTAAATATTAAAAATTTATGATTCCATTTACAAAAAATGAAAATTACCGTATCTCCTTCGCTTATTGAATTCTCAATTATATCTAAATATGATTTTTGACCGAGTCGAATTACTTTAAGGTCTTCTCCGTATTTATTTTTTATCCATTTTATACCTTGAAGTTGTGGATCAATCATTAACGGCCATCTTGCTGAATTAACTAAAATCTTTATTAAAAAAAAAAAAAACTTATAATTAAAACAATCCATTTATGTTTGTTACATCTACATATTATGCTATATATATATATAATTTCGTTGGCTGTATTTAATGTTAAGTAATATTTTTGTGTACCGTCGCATTTTCAATTGACATTCTATCATTCGGTAGACCTTCATTGTTCCATTTTGCTATTATGGCATCGTCAATTAATAACGATAAAGGATCGGATTCTTCCATAACGGGAATTTTCGGCTGGAATTTAACACACGATGGATTTTATTTTAAAAATCGAATCGAAGTAATTTTTTTCAAATTTTTTTGTCAAAAAATTTTTTTATTACTTGTACTGTTTTAATGAATGGTATCCAATTTTTTTCCATTAAATCAATTCTATAACGTTTGTTAAAACAACCAACGTAAGAAATGAAAGCGGTTACAAGAAGAACATCTCCCGGCAAAGTTTCTCCGACAGATTTTAAACTGAAAAACCAATTTATTTTTATTATTTTATCTATTTAAAAATTTTTTTTTTTTTTATTCGTACATTAACTGACTTTGATACTGATTGTCTCCAACGAATATTTTCAGAAGCTAAACCTCCGACTAATCTATTGGCTAAATTTATTGTTAAAGCCGTTGCATCTGCTTCGGCTTGACATTTCATTTTTGCCGCCATGGCTGAATCGAATTCAGATGTAAGTTTTCCCAATTTTTCTTCTAGATCCTAAAACGACCGTTAATAAAAATCAAACGAGCGTTTATTTTAAGGATCAACGAGGTATAAAAAAAAAATATATATGTATGTATACTAACAACTAGTTTTTCTTTTAAAAATTTTAATTTATCTCGAGCTTCTTGCAAATCTTTGTTAGCTTTCATCAAAGCTTGCCTTTTGGGTTCGACGTATACGTATACGTCATAAAATTTTATTATGTTAATAACCCACGAGCAGAGTCCTGATCGGTGAAAATAAATCAATTTAAAAATGAACCAATAAAATTTTAATAAACTTTCGTAGAAAAAAAAAAAGAAAAACCTGCAGCAGCTTGAGATTTTGTTTTAATTCTTTCAGGATCGAAATCAGGTTTATCTATATAATATTGAACTGCTTTAACTGCTTCCGGTTGCATATTTTCTTTATCGTAATGTTTAAGTTGATCTAAAAATGTGTCTACTTTTGACATCATTATCTAAAAAAATTAAAATAAAAATTATTATAAATCTTTTTTTTTTTTTTTTGTGTGTAAATCTTTTATTTAAATAAAACACGTTGTTGTTACCTTGCAATTTTTCCAATTTCGATCTTGCATTTTTGGAATTTTACCTTTTGGAGCAAATAATACCATTACGGCAGCCGCTACTTCGTCTGTTCCAGGAGGAGGCGTACCAAAAGATTTATATTCAGTTAAATTTGTTTTATCCAAAGTATCCAAAGCAGCCTGAGCAGCCAATAAAGCGGGTTCGGCTTTAGCTAAATCTTCTTCGCAAACTTTTTGTTTTGCAGATACGTCCTCTTCAATGGCTCTGACTTTTTCTTCTTCTTCCGCAGCTAAAATTAACATAAATTTATTTATAATAATAACCGATGTATTTTTTTTTTATGATTAATAATCAAGTGGTCAAAAAATAAAACAATTACCGATCGCTTTTTCTTTTGAAACTTTTTCACTTTCCGCTCCGACAACCGTAATTAAAGCATCGGCAGCAGCATTTTTTTCACCTAAGACAATTTCTTGAGCGGCAAGAACTTTTTTCAATCCATCCACCTATAAAATAAAATAAAAAAATTTCTTCGTACCTTTTAAAAAGTCAATTTAGTTCGAAACAAATTTACTTAAACCTTAAATATTAAAGAATACCTGTACAGATGTGCTGACTAATTTCGTCAAACCATTTTCGAGTTTTTGAATTCTGTCAAGATTCGCTTTATTTTTTTCATTTAATAATTTAAAATACAAACTGATTTGTTCCAAAAATGATTTTGGCGTAGTATAATTATAACGTCTTTCATTAGTTAGGTAAATTTGTGACATTTGATTCACGCTTGTATGCGTATTTGCCATGAATTTTGACACAGATGGACGAAGTTCTTCCTACATTATTAAATTAGTTTTTTTTTTTTTTTTTTGCAAGAAAAAAAATTATATTTTATCAAATAAAGGAAAAATAACTTGCAGGTAGAGCTTCCAACTCCTCAAGAAATCTGAGAGACACTGAAAGAAGTGCCTCATAAGGCCATTCGTGAAACCAATCGATTGCGGTGCAGTTGACCACAGCTGGGAATTTCCGGGATCGAACACGAAGAGTTGATCCGACGGGAGAGAAACACAAAACTACTTTTAATAATCTTCGTACTTTATCAATGAAATATTTCCAACAATTTTCTTTCGTATCTATGATCCCTGCAGTTTTTACCTAAAATAAATAGTAGAAATTTTATCATGCTGACTAAAAATTTCCAGAGTAAAAAAAAAAAAATAATTTGTGAAAATTTTTCATTATTTACTTCAGTTCTTATGGTGTTAATTAAGTTATCGACTTCATCATCGGGGAATAATTCAGAAATTTCACCGGATGCTAAACAATCATTTATAACGACTAAAAATTTTTCTTCTGCTACTTGAGCGTCGGTCATGAGAAAAACAATACCCATTCCTTTTAATCCTGCTTTTATATATTGAACAGAAACATCCGCCTGTAAAAATAAAAATTGAATGTGTTTGTTACGACCGTTTCAATTACATACCCGTTTTAATATTAAATTTTACCTTTAAGTCAGCCAAAGAATATCCTTTCTTTAATTGTATTTGAAATACTTCGAGTGATGATATAAACGATGCTAATCTGGAAAGAGATTGTTTTCCGGAACCTCCTACTCCTACTAATAAAGCATTACCTCTTGGAGCTTCTAAAATTCTATTAATTCTGTTTAAAAAAAAAAATTTTAAATGTTTATTTTAAATTGTTTTTTAAAAATTTCTTTGCTGAAAATCATTTTCGTCAATACCTGCAAATATGATGCATCGCATCCTCAAACAAGACCAAATTCATGGCCGCAATTAAGTCGTTATATTGAGATAAAGCTTCTTCGAGAAGTTTATTCATGGAAGCCCAAGAATCAACTGGTAGGTATTTCGATTCTCCTATACCCTCAGCAAAATGACAATACATTAAAGGATTAACAAACACTTCATGCTCATTAAATTCTTCAATCCCTTTGAAAAAAAAAAAAATTTTTTTTTAAATATGTATATAAATTTATGGATTTGAATATTTATAATTTACCTTTTCGAGTTATTTCCAATACGAGAGATTGAAACGTTTTTATATCTTTTTCATCAATTAATTTATCGCAGTAAACTCTATTAACTTCATGCAACCAAAGCTTTATAAGGGATGCAGGAGTAGGTAAACATTCAGGAGTAGAAAAAAGTATGCCCTAAAATAAATGAGTTTTGGAGAATAGAACACATTTTTCAAATAAAATCAAATTTTAATTTTTTGAAAAAAAAACTCACTTGAAAAATATTTGACAAGTCACGCATGTTAAATACGTAATGAAATCTAATAGCCGTCGGTAAAAATGTTTGACTCATCTTTTGGTGAAGCTGTAGAGCTACGCTAACTAAATTCGATACGGATTTAAGAAGTGCAGGATTAAATTTTGAACCAGGATAACCCAGATGACCGGACAAAATTTTTTCGAAGATGCTAAATAATGCATCGCCAGAGGGTAAACTAAAAAAAAAATTGAATTATACGAATTAAACAACAACAATTTTTATGAATTAACGTGAAAAAAAAAAATTGTGAATTTTAATAACCTGACTGCAAATACGGCAAAATGTCTTTGTAACCGAGGATCAATAGTAAAACTTCCAGCTGTCGGATTCATACAAGAAACGTATAGACAATTGTGAATTTCTTTTAGCGTTAATTTTACCCTATCGTACCAATGATTGTAATCTATGTGTTGTCTAATGAGTGTGTGTGGTTGTACGGTGCCATAAGCATCAACCTTGAAATATAGAAATTATGTTAATATAAGAAAATTCATAACAAATTATTTAAAAAAAAAAAAAGTAAAACTTGCCTCTGGCATGTTCATATCATCGATAAAATAAATCATACGTTTGTTTCCAGGAGGACCATAATTTCGTCCAGCTTTTTTCTCCAGCGGTTTTTCTAACATTTTTTGCAACATTTCTGTTGTATAAATTTTAAAAGAACCATTTATTTTAATCACAATTTATATTGTTTAGGTATTCTAAATGAATTTTTCGCAAACAATTTTTAAAACATAGTACAAAGTACTTTAAATTAATGTAAATTAAAATAGTTGGCGGTAAAATTACCGGAAGTGGTGTAAAAATTAAACGGAACTTTAGTCACAGCGTAAGATTCAGGTAGATTGTCTATTTTATCAGCTACTATTACACTTTTTCCAGATCCTGCACTTCCGACAAACATGATTGGAATTTTGACAGCAGTAAAAATATCCATGAAATATCTTAATCTAGTCGTTTCAGATGTATTAACTAGAGTACACTAAAATAAATATATAACGTAAAAATGATTCTTTTTGTTTTTTTACTCTATGGAAATTACTCGAAAAAAAAACAAAAAAAAAAGTAAAAAATTTTTACTTGTAGCGGAACATCAGGATCGAATTCATAATGAACAACTTTTTCCGTCCACGGTAAAAATTTTTTCGTTTCTTGATCAATAAAATAATGAAAAATTGTACCCGCCGTCGGAAATTTAACAACTTTAAATTCGTTCACCCACCATTTGTTAAATTCGTTTCTCCAATCTATTAACTTAAATTTTTAAAAAATTTTTTAATGTAATATACGTGAATTATTAATTAAATTTACACCTTAAACTTAGAAAACATCTTTATCGTTACCTGATCTTGAAACATTGATGATCCGAATGCCCAAACGCAAGCCCAAGCAAAATAAATTTCATACCATTCTTTGGGACAATCGTTGGGTACATTAGCAGGTATAAGAAGATAATCCAATAAGTGACATAACATTTGAATATGATTAATTTCCGGTAATGGTGTTATTTTTTTAAATTTTGTCTTTAAGGTTTCCAAGCAAGGTGTTACGTATTTGTCAAACAATACATTTAATTGAGCTATTTCCGATTGGCTTGTTCTGGTATCTAACCAACTGGCAACAAAACTAAAAGGGAAAAATTTAAATTTTTAAAGATTATGAAATAGGTAAATAAAAAAAAAAGAAAAAAAACTCACGGGCTCCATCCCAAATCTTGAGGATTTATGTACAGAATACCAGCTCTTGAAACGGTTGCAGGTGTAGCAGTTCTTAAATTTGAAATTTCAAAAAGTAATCTCATTGAAGGAGTTAAAGCGATTCTTTCGTTACTAGCCAAAGTCAGTACCTTAACAAAAAAAAAAAAAAAAAAAACATCAATTTTTAAAATATTTTTAAAATATTTATTATATTATTAATTACTTTATTATCGTCCATTAAAGTGTTTAATGATTCAATCCACATTGGATCGATATCACCGTCTAAAACTATCCATTTGGGTCCATAACCAGCCATATTTGCTTGATCTCTCATAATAACCGAAAATAAACCTAAAATCACATTTAAAAAGAAGAAATTTTTTTTTTTTTTTTGATACAAGAATGTATTTTTAATTAAATTAAAATCAAAGGTTTAAAAAGGTTTAACCATCTTTCCATTCTCGCGTGGAAGGATTAATAACACCAAACAATTCGTCATTCGTGACAGCTTTTGGATTCAAATCATTGTACCAAGGTTTTTTTTTTTGATTCGCATAAGTTCTATTGAGAGTTTTCCAAACTTGACTTTTTCCAGTACCAGCGAATCCAACGATAAATACGGAATGTCTCACATCGAATAATTCTTCTAATTGAACACACTAAAACAATAAGAAAAAAATTCGTCCAAGTAATAAATGTAACAATTCAGGAATCTTAACTTAATTTCAAGTCAAATTTTTTTTCAATTACTTTTAAAATAAAATTATCTTCCGGTTGAAGTTTTAAATCTAACGCTGCACCTTTTATTGCCTTTTCAAAATCTAAATCTCTCTTTCTGGGAACATCCAAAGCAGGAAACAAATCACCAATGAGTCCCATAAATATGGGTAAATCATCAGTAACGATTTTAGGAATATTAAAATCTCGAAGAGCTCTCATCAATACTTGATCTTCTGGTCGTAACCTGTCACCTCTCTAAAAATTAAATTATGTTAAGTAAATACAAAATAATATGAAATTCATTCGTTTTAAAAAATATTTATTTATTAAAAGGAAAATTTTTATATGAAACTATTATTTTTTTTTTTTTTTTTTTTAAGAGATGAAAAGCGCAAAATTATAAATAAAGTTTACCTTTAATGACCCAGCCACCACCAACACGGATTTAATAGCTCTTAAACCCCAATCGTAATGGTCTTGTTTGGAAAGTAATTCTCTACATAACGTATAAAGAGTGATAAATTTACGAGCGAGTAATCGAGCCTCCTGAAATCCTTCAGCAACCAACATAATTTCACAGATTAATTCAAAGTCAGGTACAACCATAGCACAGGGTCTAAAAAATTTTTTTTGTTATAAAAACGAAGGCTTTTTAAAAAAGCAGTTAAAAAATAATACCTTAAATTATTATGGTGAAATAAATGTTTTAAAAATTTATTGTACCTGAATAATGCTTTTAAATTTTCAGGCAATTCCGTTCTTCCAGCGTAACCAGGATTCATTGTAATGAAAATACCCACTGTTGATACTAAATTAATCATTTCTCCTAAAAAGTTGAATTTATTTTTTTTTGTTTTAATGGCGTCCTGAATAATTTTTACTTGCACGGCTACAACCGACAGTACTTCTACTGATATTCTATTAAATTCATCAAAACATCCCCAAGCTCCCGTTTGTGCCAGGCCTTTATATATGTTACCACAAGACTACAAATAAATTTAAATTAAATAAATCACGACTGTTTGCTAAAATCATAAATCAAAATGTTTGTTCCAAAAGTAAACCTTATAGTCCATTTGTTCTGAACAATTGAATACGTATACCATAAAACCTAAAGCTCGGCCTAAATCTTTCGTGGTTTCAGTTTTTCCAGTTCCTGCAGGTCCCGCGGGTGCACCACCCATAATTAAATGTAAAGACTAAATTTTTAAAATTTTTATAAATTTACTTTGAATGTTACAAAAAAAAAGAAAAAATTCTAAAATGTATAAAAGTATTACTTGTGTTAGGGTAATATAACAACGATCTGTCAATGGCGTAATGACCAGACGAGGGGTACATCCCAAATATTCGTAATCGTAGCGGAATTGAGCGTCACAAATATTCCCGAAACAATCTTTTACTTTTAAATCCCATCTATGCCTCAGCTGAGACTGCCACTGAAAAGCTGTAGAACTTTCTATTTTTTGTAATATCATTTTAGCGATTACATCTCTTGAGTGTACATCAATTGTACAAACAGCCATAATTTTTTGTCTATCTCCTTTCGATAAATCCCCACATAAAAGAGTAATCAATACGTTCAACTGATATATCTAAAATAGTATTTTTTACTTTTTCCCCTGTTACGATATGATCTACTTTTTTTTTTTTTCATTTTGATATGTAAACTATGCTTTTGTTTAATACTTGTTTTCTGTTATAATCCTTTAGTGCGTTTTCATAACCTTCCTCTAATCTTTCAAAAGCTATGTTAACTTCTGTCGTCCACCATATTTGAGTACCGCAAAGTGCTACTTGAGCAGGAAACGCAAATAAAAATTGATCTCTGCTCATTTCGTCATAAGCTACAACGCCATTACTAAAATAAATTCGTAATGTTTTCCTCATTATATCCGTAACTCGATTTAACCAATGTTCAACTTTTCCTAAAATAATTAATTTTAAATTGCAATTAAATAAAAGCATGGAACAGAAATTTCATCCCTAATTTTTTTTTTTTTTTTTTTGTAAAAGAATAAATTAATTTGAATTTTTCAGTTTTATATATATATTAGTTCTTACCGCTGCAATCGCAAACGCCTTTAAATTCAACATATTCGCCATCTTTGGCATACATTCCTTTAGCGAATTTTGTTCCCGATTGATATTTCAATTTTCCTATGGAATCGTACAGTTTGGGAAGATGACTGAAACGAAGTTTTTAACGTAATTTTGATTCTACTTTTTCTTTTGTAATTTCTTATGTAAAATAGTTACCGTCCAACTAATTCCGGTTGATTTCCGTTTGATAATATATCTAATAAATCAGCTGATGACACGAAATAAAATCGTGGATAAGCAAGTCTTTTCGTTTCCAAATAATTCGATAAAGCTTTTTCGCACATGACTAATTGTTTTTCCAAATCTTCCAATTGTGGTATTAATCCTGGCTTGTTGGTAGATCTGATAACATTTAAATCTTTTACCATGTTCGCTAAAAGACCCTAAATAAAAAATTTTATTTATTTATACTAATTCAAAAAAAAAAATTTTTAATTTTTTAAATTACAAACGAACTTTAAAAGTCCTATCAATTCCTTCAAATCTTTTTGAATCTTCTGGTAATTGAGATCTTATATCTTCGGACCCGATAAAAATCGACTCCAAATGTTGCCAAGATCTTTGCACTTCCATCCATGCGGTTATTACTTGATCGGCATTACTTAATTTATTTTGCCAACTCGAAACTTCATTGTAGAAATAATCAATGAATTTAGAGCTCATCATATTTTGTAATTGATTCTAAAAAAATTTTTTTTTTAATTTTAATTTTTTTTTATAGAAAATTAAAAGTAATAATAATAATAATATAAATACTTGATCGTTTTCTAAAATCTCTATCAATTCTTCACTGGCCGCAATAATAGCCGTATTTGTTCTTGCGTGATGTTGTTTTTCGAATTCCATATTTTTCCACGTAACTTCCAATTCTTTCAAAGTTTTTTCCATAGCCATTTCCTTCACTGATTTGTCAACAATTGTTTTTACTTCTTCTTCAAATTGATGTAAATTGAGATTTATCAAATCTGCCAAAGTTGTCGAATCCGTCATGACAAACTTCACCTGAAAATAATTTATGTTTTTTTTTTTTTTTGTATTTTATTTTAAAAAAAATTTTTTTTTTCTCGATAGTTTGTCTTACGTTAACTTTATTACCCAATTTCTACAAAACATGAAAGCGTAAAAAAAAAAAAAAAAAAAAAAAAAATTGAAAATATTAAAAGATTATTATTAAAATTAATTGTAAATAATTATTAACTTATTAATTCGTATCCTTTTTTTTTTTTTTTTTTTGTTACCTTTGT